GATCTATCTTGAAGAAATGGAACAAAATGATGTCCATTTAATTAATTACAATAGCTCCATCGTGTTTCACATTTTTAATCCCGCAAGGGATTGCGCTAACAGCTTTCTTTTTCATATTCCATTTTATTTAATTTAACATTATTATTCTTTCATTCTAACCATTGATTTAATTAGCAAATAAGTCTATTGGACATATCCACAGCAGGTCTCAATGTACTTATGAAATATCTTGATAAACTCACAAACACTAATATTGAGTGTTTTATAAAGTTATAATTTGATCAGTTTACGCCGTATGACCACTGTGACAAATCAAAGCATGACTACTTATCATCCTTGAGATTTATCATATAATTCTTTATCTATTTACAAACATATTCCAGCCATTCAAATTTCAAGTCAGACTTTGAAATAGCCTAAGTCTTGTTGCTAATATCATTTAGTGTCTTCTTCCGTTGCTAAGGAATTCTGAGATAGGAGTCTGATACTTGGTTGCTATTGGAAACGTACCGAATGACCATTGGCTTTTGATTGTCGTTTCTATTGCGTGCCGATGTTGCAAAACTTCGATTTAAAATCTACACTCACTATATTTTTGGACAAAAAAAAAATACAACAAACTCTATTTATCTTTAAGGTTAAAATTGATCAACAAGTACTTGATAATCAAATACGTCCATTTAATGTTTTTCTTCATCATTTACTTGAACAGTTAGAACAAATTGATGAGTATCATTATTTTGCAAATCCAGTTGATGAAACTGAAGTAAAATTTGAAAATAAAAACTCAAAATAAAAAAACATATTAAAGAATAATTTAATTATTAGGTTCCAACTTATTATAAATTTATAACACATCCAATGGATTTTTTAACAATAAAGAAAAAAATTGATCGAGATGAATATAATAATTTAGATCAATTTGAAAATGATTTTGGTTTAATTGTTAAAAATTGTCATTTTTTTAATGAAGCTAAATGTAAGAAAAAATTTATATTAAATTTTATATTTAATTTTAATTCTTGATTTTTATTTTTGTAGCAGCATACTATAAAGCAGCAACAAGATTACGTGATAAAGTGTGTTGATTATTTGAAACAAGTGATTTAAAAATTCGTTTTTCTTTTTATTTCCAAGGGTTTAAATTTACTCAAACAAGCTCGACGAGTTTATGAAACAACACGTTATGATCCAAACACTGGACAACATAAAGAAGAATCTAATGTAGATGGTAAAACAAATCATTTTATTTTTCTTGTTCTACTGACATAGATCGTTTGCTCAAAGTTTTCAATGATTGATACACTATATATCATTCTGAGCCTATGCTACTTAACCGAAGCGGTTCATCGACTGATTAGTTTTAAAACTTTCTCAATATCGATATTATAACTTAAGAAAATCATTCTGTAAATCGAGTTTTATTTCCATAGGGATATAAATTTAAAAAAGACACTATCTAATACAGTTAACAGTGAATTTTCTAATGAGTACATTTTTTTTCCTAGTGAAACGATCTAAATTTCATTATTTTATATATCATACAGCAAAATCAATTTCGATTATATTTTAATGTAGATACCTTTTTTTATTCAAAAATTGTTTTTATGTACCAGCTACATTTTGAAAGAAAGAAATTTGACTTTTGAAATTCTATACAAATATATTTTAGATCTTGATTATACATTTGAAGATCGTCTTGAAGTATTACTTCAACGATTGAAAGAATATCAAACAATCGGTAAAAAAAATATTATTTTTTATTTCTTATTGAAATTTCAAATATTTTTTTTTTCCAAATATTTAAAGAGCCTCGATCAAAACATGTCGCTAATTTGAAAAAACAAATAGCTCAAGTTCGTCGAACAATAACCAAAAATCTATCAAATTCATCATTAAATAATAATAATGATGAATCTATTCTACAACGAACAACATATGATGAATCAAGTAATAAATTACAGCAAAAAACAACAAAAAAATTAAACATAAATATCGTATTTTCTTTTTTCTATAGTGGAAACACTTTCATCATTATCACCAAATGTTTCATCATTAAACGTAACTAAAAATCAATCAGAATTACTTGATCTACAATCCATATCTCAAATGTAAGAATAAGATATTATGTCTTTGGAATAAATTTCACGCAACACTTTGTAATGTTGACATGCAAAATAATATGAAAATACTTTTGATTTTGAGCAAGTCAATGGAATTATAAGGATCAGCTTTTTTTTTTATATTCAAAAACAAATTTTAGGAGAAGCTGAATAGATGTGTGACGACAGCTCATTTGAACTAACTGTAGGGGCTTGTCAAACTAATAATTAATCCTTACATGACCATCTTTAGGGTTACTACTTGTTGTCCACCTAAAATCCGTCCAGAACTTAATTGATAAAATAAATATATAATACACGAAGTTGTTACTAGTCTATCATGAACATGGTTCAATTAAATGTTATGAATACATAAAATAACAAAAAAAAATCTTACTGGGGCTTCAAGAAATCTCATATAATTAACAAGCGTTCACATGTACTTTAGTATTATTTACACTTATAAATATAGTTGGACGTAACTAGCAAATATTATCCGCATACTCTAGTAGTCTTCATTAGATCATATCTGAAAGATCAGCCACTCCATCTAATATTGTGTACTTATAACAGTATGATGAAACTGGATAGAGTCTACACGAATCCCAGGTGATCATGTCAGAGTTGATTAATTAATCTTTTGAACTATCATACACCTAAACATAATTATCGGATAAATTTCTTACTATTTTTAAATAATATTTTAGCATAAAAAGTCGATCTACTCCTTTTATTATTGATTTTAATTCAACTCTTCTCTATTTGATTAAACTTTTATATCGTCAATAATTTCTTAAATGTTAATCAATCACATCTTTCTATTTTCCTAAATTAACGACTGAGTCATTTAATCTTTGTTTTTACATATCAAACTATGTTCTTTCTTTTTTTTTTTTTTCAGTGATAAATCGAAACCAACAGAATTAAAAAATCAATCAGATGAAAGCAGTAGTGAATAATACGTCAAGTAAATACAACAAAATTTTCTCATTACAAAAAACAAAGAACATTTTATTTAATTCTTTAGTTCTTTTCAATCATTACAATTATGATCCATTCCTTTTTCTTTTTTTTTTCTTTTTTGCGCGCAATCTTTATATATACTTGTGTGTAGTAATATTAATATCATTTTGATGTTATAAATTAAGATTTATTCGTTTTATGTATATATTGTAGAGTGTGTCCTATAAGATGATTTCTGTTTCGTTTTTCTTTTTTCTTCTTTTTGGCGCGCATTTATTCATCCATTTTGATTCTAATCATATCTTTAGATAACTTTTGAGAATAATGTCGTGTTTTAAATGTGGTCGTCCAGGTCATTTTGCTCGCGAATGTATAAATTATATTGAAAATAATTCAACAAATTTTGATTTATTGAATGATTTTAATCGAAATGAACATATATTTAATAATCTTAATTCTTTTGTTTATAATAATAATAATAATAATGGACCACAACGTTGTTATCGTTGTAATGAATTTGGTCATATAGCACGTGAATGTTTGTCTGATAATGATATTCGTATGTAAATATGAAAAAGAATTTATTTATTATAATTAAATATTTTTAGGTACATGTTATAATTGTGGTCAAAATGGACATATTCGTAGTGAATGTATGGTATCAGTAAATCCAATGTTAAATATGAATAATAATTCAAGAAATAATACTCAATGTTATCGTTGTGGTCAATTTGGACATTTGTAAGAATTATTCTTTTTTTGTTTGTTTGTTTAAAGTAGTGGCGTAACCAGGATTTTTTAGTATGCTGGATCTCAGCTTCAAAGTATGGGTCCCATATGAAACTTATAGAAATTTGATATTGGACCCAAATGATGAGTTTTCATCGAAAAAAATTAGCATTTTCCTGAGTCCGCACAGAGCCTTTTCTTTCCTTCTCATAGTATTTTGTTTTTCAGAATTTCAGAGGAAGCTACATC